ATTAGTTCAAAATAGTTAATTTATATATATTATAATTGTATAATAATTATATATACCCACCTATACTAAAGATCAACTCTTTTTTTTTTCTTGCTTATATATTTTATTTTTTTTTTATATATCTTTGTATTTTTTTCTTTTCTTTTCAGTGTTTTCTTTGATTTGACTTCTTGATAAAGCATATACATAGCTGCTCTAACTAATGATTAAAGAGACCAAATTCTCAGAAAGTTGAGGATCTAATATAAAACAAATTGCTGCTAGATAGGGTCACACCTGGACCATAAGGCCAAGTGAGTTCTCTTTAGTATAGAATTATATGATAAAAGTTATATTCACTTGTTAACAATAATTTTCTGGTATTTCCAATAAAATAATAAATGCAAGACCACCAAATATAAAAAAAATAACAAATTAATAAAATAAAAAGACAATTTTATTTATTTATTTTAAGGTAAGGCCGAAATTTCTATTTGTATACTATGTGTATATACACAGATATAGAAAGGCAATCAGATTACACAATTATGTGTAATGTAAAATTATTGCTTTTTTTAAAGCTCAAATTTTCACTTATGCAACCACCTTTTGGATATTAATAAAAAAATTCATTGCGAAACTTTGGTATAAATTAACCCCGTCCCATCCTAAGCCCACCCCTACCCTAACTTTAGGCTGCGCTTAATTTTTCGTTTTATGCAAATTTGGTTTGATTTACACATTACACGGATTTGCAAATTAATACCGTGTACCATGTACACTTAGAAATTTCTATATATTTATATTACCAAATATTAAATATTTATTGTTGATTAACTTTTTATAAAAATTATATATATTTTTTAAAATTTATTATTATAAATTTGGCGCTCCAGACTCACATTGGTCTCCAGTTCCCAGTTAATATAGATATTTATCTTCATGCTACTTATACATTGTATAACAAAAATAATAAATTAACCTTCAATTAACTATGCATATTATTTTATTACACAATTAAGATAAAAAATTATATATTTGACTTTAAACTATCGCTTTATTTTTAATAACTTTTCAATATTATTTAATTATTAACATTAAGACTAGGATAAAATTAGTTTTGGATTAAGCCAGACAAAATATAGATTAGTATTAAAATATTTGCTAAGTTTAATTTAAATTTAACTATGGTGTACTCAAATTATTTTAAAAAAATTAAAAAAAGTTTGCCAATTAAAAATTTGATTAAATATTTTTAAATATTTGATTCAAATTCAAACTTTGATTTGATTTTGCGGAGTACTATTTTTTATATGTTGTTGAACAACGTCCATTAGGAAACCTTATGATTTGTATCTGAATAAATCCGATTATAAGTATCTGAGCGAACCTGACGATTAATATCAGAATAAACATGACTATTTGTATCAGAGCACGCCTGATTATTTGTGTCTATGAGTAGAGCTGCCATTCCTGCATTGTGTTTTCTTCGATATAATATAAAGCCAGCCGCCACTAACACGCTAACAAAAGTGAGGGAGCCTATTACACCACCCACTATTGCACCTACATTAGACGGAGATGACTGAGATGTCGATGATGTGGTAGGCATTGGCTTCGAAGATGAGTTAGGTGGATTAATAACACTTATGAAATTCATTAATGTTCCATCGACCGTATCTTTAGTTATATCGAAAATTGCAATTCCTAATGCATTCACGTGCCGTACGTAATCAAGTTTGGATTTTAGTGATTGAAGATTTTCATAAGAAACATAATAATATCGAGTAGGAGAGTTCTGTTGTTGGTAAAGATATGGCTGTTGAGATGTATTATCGAAGCCATAATTCCATTTTGGATCTTTATTGGTACTCGTATCACAAAGTAATAATAAGTTAGAAAAATTTTTCCACGACAAAGTCGCATATACTGAAGGTCCGCACAGACTTTGAATCTTGTCATCAGCAAATGGATATTGAGTATTTGTGTCATTTGCAATCACAAGATTTTGACTATTTATATCCGTTATAATGTTACTAGAAGTAACCAGTTCGATAATCGATTCCCAAAACGAGTTTTGATTTACTGACATAACTATTCCATCCATCAAAAATTTTCTGAATATTGCCTATTCCGGCACTCGCGGATTTGCTATCTTTATTAAGATAAAATGCCTGAAGTTTTATAAGAAAATTAAACTTAGATTAATGCACATCTGGAGCTAACAAGCTATTATATATGAGTGAACGGAATTGGGGTTCTCCGTTATATTTAGAATAATAAGAGTTTATAACATCATTGTTCAAAAATAAAATTAAATCCTACCTGAATATTCACAAAATTAATAATACCAGAATTGCTGGAGTTAAGACCAGATATAGGATACTGGCCTGCTGTGACCGTTAAAATCTTACTGCTATTAGATTTCTTTAATTGGCTTGATAAATCATTTAGGAACGGTATGAAAACAGAATTTAGCTCATTAGTAGTGAACTGTTGTCCTTGCGGTATTCCTTGCGGTGGCGGCGGATAGCATGGAAGCTTATTAGGATAATCAATATCAATCTATAATTAAAAAATAATTAACGTAACCATCATTAAATAATGCAAAAGGTAAGAATTATTGAACTTACTCCATCGAGCGAATGGTCGTTAACAATTTTAACTAAATCACTAACAAAAGTATTATTTTGATTATATTGCCCAGTAGTTACAAGATTAGAGAACGGTGAGATTTTTACTAAGTCTTGAGTAGTAGGCAACAAGACTGAAAGGATTAACTATAAATAGCAAATTAATTAAATACTTTAACATACACTCAGCATTTATTACTCACTTGGAATTTCCGGTTAGGATTTCTAACAAGATAGTCTCTAAATTGATTAAATTTGTTGTAATGCTGGAAATCAGTAAACACTGTATATGGTCCAGTGCCACTAGTAAGATCATTCGGGTCAAATGCTATAGTAATTTAAACCCAATAGCATTTGTTAAATTTAATCCTAATGATTGAAAGTTTTTAAATCCTGCATACCAATATAGTTTAAATGAGTAATTGACGGACTGATAAGTTTACTTAAATCATTTGCTTGCAAATTATATTTATAAGCCTGATAATACCCAACAATCGTATTTGGTCGTGGTGGTGTATTCACCACACAGTCCTGACTAAAAGCCCCAATGTTCACAACTAATATGAAAAAGGCATATAAAAAAAGTATTACAAACTTATAGAATGAACAAAATTTTCATAATTGTTCTGATAAAACATAAATTCTTAATTAAAATGATTAAACAACAATATATATAAATTAAGTAGCCTCTTTACTAATGAAATGATTTGTTTATCAACGGTTTCAACTTGAATATTCAATGGGAAAAATCCTGATAGAAAACTATCTGTTATACAATTCAGTTACGTACAACCATTGCACTCGTTTAAAAATAAGTAATATTGATAAAATCATTTCCTCTAATAGAATATTATTTGCTTTGTTATATAGATGTACGTAGCAATAACTCAAAAAAGAATAATTAATTTACACTGTTAAAATTTCCTTCTGTAATTGTAGTAGCAAGAGACCATATAATAACGTTATATATGTTGTATGTGGTTTCTAAACATCAATTGTTCGAGGATTGACTTGATTTTAAGCCCACTTAAATGGATCGTTTCTATAACGATATAAGTAGTAATTAAATATTAAAAATGAAACAAAACAATTATTTCTATATAAAATAAATAAATTGTTTTTTCTTTTAATGCTTATTTTATACTGAATATTCAAAGAATTTGAATAACACCTACTTACATATAATAAAGATCATTACAAAAATTATTCATCTTTGAAATTGCGTTTCTATGTTAGTTAGCAGTAGATGTAGATTGAATCTTTTCGGCTTTACGTACATGAGCTAAATAATAAAATATTACCTTTAATAGCGAAAGTAACGAAGCGCTCTTAGACTTGTTGATAAAAAAATGTTGTGGTGATGCTGGAAACGGTTAGTGCTGGAAATTGGGTGTCTTTATTGAAAATATAAACTCCTATAAAAACCCACTTATTTCCTTTATTAACAAGTATAGTCCCAAATCCTAATCTGACCGTTAAAAAAAAAAAATTTGCATATCAAAAAATTTTAAAATTTTCATATCGATATTAATTTCTAGCATCCGCGACAATAAATAACATTTTTAATCGTCCAATTTCATTCTACATGCTTCTGGCTTTCATCCTTATTGGAAAAGTACTCATCTCTTGTCAGTTAAAATTAGCTCGAAAAAAGTCAATTTCCAACATGTATTTCGAAATCTTTTTTTTTTGTCAACAAAGATAGAAAATAAAGAGACATCAAAATATCTTGTTAATGCAAAGACATTTATAAGTTTTTTTTTCAGATTGGATGCACTAATTTTATCCCGGATTTATTGGGTAAACTTATAACCATTGATCACCCGGATAATCCGCGAATTTACCGAGTGCTTTTTTGACCGATACAACATTATCAAAATATCTTGTAACCGTTAGAACATATTCTACGTTTACGTCTTTGAAGAAGCTTGGCTCAAACCTACTAATCCAGCTTTTAACACTCTACTAATTTATAAAAAGGTATAATGTTTATTCGATATTAAAACTTCAATTTAGAGGAAAACTTTTGAAATAGTATAATCGGCAAAATGAATAGAATTGAACAAAGTTAGTGAAAGAAAAAAAGCCGTAGAAAATGTAATTCACGCAAGGCGAACTGAATCACAAATAAGATTCGTATATAATTTACATGTGACCAACGAATGATTGGACAATCCAGTGAAAATGTGTGCTTGAAGTTAACGATTGCCAAGAATTGCACTAACCTTTGAAATTTGGATTTTCTTGCAATTTTTAGGTAAGTGTAACTTCGGGCGCTTGAAGTTGCTTCAAACACGATAATGAATTTTATTTATCACTATCCTTGTGTTATAACGTAAGCACAAGTTCAAATTAAAACTCAGTCAATGACGACTTGTAAGGCATGAATTGTATATATATAATTTGATTTTATCATTATCGTTATTATTGTACAGTATAGTATCTGAAACTAAAAATCCGAATTCGGATTATCCTGTCGTTCTAGAAATTGGATGTCTTGCTTTACAAATTCCGTAAATTCATTCGGACAAACATCTAGTGCACATCCATGACATGACTTTTTCATATATACATAAACATTAATCATGTGTTATTCGTTATTGACGTAATGACTAAACTTGTCCTCCAATGGGTTTAACGGCATGGTCTGACATAGGTATATGACTTCTAAATTTCGTTAATTCCCAATTTATTTTTCACGGAAAACTGTTACACGGAGCGGTAACTGAATGAAATATACTATAAAAAGTAACATAATATAATTTGGACTATCTTATACGATTTATATTGTACCTTGTGATTTTGTATGATCTAGTGCCCATCTTAATATAAATTTTTAAAAATTCTCATGTTAAGGTTTTTTGTTTTTTTACTATTTTAAAGAATTGAATTCATGTTTAAATAACGGGGACCGAACTTCTATAAGTTATTAGTACAAATATCTTCAATTCCTACTGAAAAAATAATTGTAATTGCTGAAAATGTCTGGAAAGAAAATAGATATGACTGATTCGAATGAGCCTTCCGGTAATAGTGCTCATAATGGAATTATTACTTCACAGGTTCAATAAACAAAATTCGCACATTTCGTGATTTTTAGTAAAAATTTTTTTAATGCAATAAGCTAATAAATTATTGTGCCATTGCTAAACATAAAGCCTTCAAATATCCCACAAATGCAAGTGCAACGATCGTTTGCTGAGACCCTTCCCCTTA